ACTATGACCCATATACTGTCAGTTACCTGAATGGTTTTAGTGTCCTTTGCTCGACCCACCTGTCTTGACCACACTCCTTATCCATAACCTCACTTTCCCCAATAACTATATGCAGGGACAGATAAATAATGAGTTGTCACTGTCAGGTTTCCAAATAGTGGGTTTGTAGTGTGATGGGGTAGAGGATTATTACAGGGTGCTGCATATGTGTCTCTGTGAGTATGTACACTGTGAGTGTGTAGTGTCTTGTTTTGTGGTAGAGTGTCTTATTTGTGGTGTGTACATGACTGTGAGTATAAAGTTGAACTATGTGTTGTATATGACATTAGTGCTGTGCTCTAGAGGTGTATGGGTGAGAGTGTTGAGCTTAGCTGCTGTGAGTGTGTTGTCAGTATGTGTGAAGGTGATGTTTAGAGTTGTATTAAGTGATAATAGGCTATTTGTGAATCTGCAAACCCAATGCAGTAGGGGGAGCCACTGGCTGACACACACACTTAAAAGAGCAGACTTTGGTCTGTAGCAGAGAACTGAATGGTAGTCGTAAGAAAAACCACCAAAGTATTCCGACCTCTTCACTTTTTCCACACTTTGTTATGTTACAGCCTTATTCTAAAATTGATTAAATCATTGTTTTCCCTCATCAATCTACACACAATACCCCATAATGACAAAGTTGAAAACAGGTTTTTAGAAATGTTTTCACATTTATTACAGATAAAAAACAGAAATACCTTATTTACATAAGTATTCAGACCCTTTGCTATGAGACTTGAAATTTAGCTCAGTTACATCCTGTTTCCATTGATCATCCTTGAGATGTTTCTACAACTTGATTGCAGTCCACCTGTGGTAAATTCAATTGATTGGACATGATTTGGAAAGGCACACACCTGTCTATATAAGGTCCCACAGTTGACAGTGCATGTCAGAGCAAAAACCAAGCCATGAGGTCGAAGGAATTGTCCGTTGAGCTCCGAGACAGGATTGTGTCGAGGCACAGATCTGGGGAAGGGAACCAAAAAATGTCTGCAGCATTGAAGGTCCCCAAGAACACAGTGGCCTCCATCATTCTTAAATGGAAGAAGTTTGGAACCACCAAGACTCTTCCTAGAGCTGGCCGCCCGGCCAAACTGAGCAATCGGGGGAGAAGGGCCTTGGTCAGGGAGGAGACCAAGAACCCGATGGTCACTCTGACAGAGCTCCAGATTCCTCTGTGGAGATGGGAGAAGCTTCCAGAAGGACAACCATCTCTGCAGCATTCCACCAATCAGGCCTTTATGGTAGAGTGGCCAGATAGAAGCCACTCCTCAGTAAAAGGCACATGACATCCCGCTTGGAGTTTGCCAAAATGCACCTAAAGGACTCTCAGACCATGAGAAACAAGATTCTCTCGTCTAATGAAACCAAGATGGAACTCTTTGGCCTGAATGCCAAGTGTCACGTCTGGAGGAAACCTGGCACCATCCTTACGGTGAACCATGGTGGTGGCAGCATCGTGCTGTGGGGATGTTTTTCAACGGCAGGGACTGTGAGACTAGTCAGAATCGAGGGAAAGATGAACGGAGCAAAGTACAGAGAAATCCTTGATGAAAACCTGCTCCAGAGTGCTCAGGACCTCAGACTGGGACGAAGGTTCACCTTCCAACAGGATAATGACCCTAAGCACAGAGCCAAGACAATGCAGGAGTGGCTTCGGGACAAGTCTCTGAATGTCCTTGAGTGGCCCAGACAGAGTCCGGATTTGAACCCGATCGAACATCTCTGGAGAGACCTGAAAATAGCTGTGCAGCAACGCTCCCCATCCAACCTGACAGAGTTTGAGAGGATCTGCAGAGAAGAATGGGAGAAACTTCCCAAATACAGGTGTGCCAAGCTTGTAGCATCATACCCAAGTAGACTCAAGGCTGTAATCACTGCCAAAGGTGCTTCAACAAAGTACTGAGTAAAGGGTCTGAATACTTATGTACAGTGGGGGAAAAAAGTATTTAGTCAGCCACCAATTGTGCAAGTTCTCCCACTTAAAAAGATGAGAGAGGCCTGTAATTTTCATCATAGGTACACGTCAACTATGACAGACAAAATGAGATTTTTTTTCTCCAAAAAATCACATTGTAGGATTTTTAATGAATTTATTTGCAAATTATGGTGGAAAAATAAGTATTTGGTCAATAACAAACGTTTCTCAATACTTTGTTATATACCCTTTGTTGGCAATGACACAGGTCAAACGTTTTCTGTAAGTCTTCACAAGGTTTTCACACACTGTTGCTGGTATTTTGGCCCATTCCTCCATGCAGATCTCCTCTAGAGCAGTGATGTTTTGGGGCTGTCGCTGGGCAACACAGACTTTCAACTCCCTCCAAAGATTTTCTATGGGGTTGAGATCTGGAGACTGGCTAGGCCACTCCAGGACCTTGAAATGCTTCTTACGAAGCCACTCCTTCGTTGCCCGGGCGGTGTGTTTGGGATCATTGTCATGCTGAAAGACCCAGCCACGTTTCATCTTCAATGCCCTTGCTGATGGAAGAAGGTTTTCACTCAAAATCTCACGATACATGGCCCCATTCATTCTTTCCTTTACACGGATCAGTCGTCCTGGTCCCTTTGTAGAAAAACAGCCCCAAAGCATGATGTTTCCACCCCCATGCTTCACAGTAGGTATGGTGTTCTTTGGATGCAACTCAGCATTCTTTGTCCTCCAAACACGACGAGTTGAGTGTTTACCAAAAAGTTCTATTTTGGTTTCATCTGACCATATGACATTCTCCCAATCCTCTTCTGGATCATCCAAATGCACTCTAGCAAACTTCAGACGGGCCTGGACATGTACTGGCTTAAGCAAGGGGACACGTCTGGCACTGCAGGATTTGAGTCCCTGGCGGCGTAGTGTGTTACTGATGGTAGGCTTTGTTACTTTGGTCCCAGCTCTCTGCAGGTCATTCACTAGGTCCCCCCGTGTGGTTCTGGGATTTTTGCTCACCGTTCTTGTGATCATTTTGACCCCACGGGGTGAGATCTTGCGTGGAGCCCCAGATCGAGGGAGATTATCAGTGGTCTTGTATGTCTTCCATTTCCTAATAATTGCTCCCACAGTTGATTTCTTCAAACCAAGCTGCTTACCTATTGCAGATTCAGTCTTCCCAGCCTGGTGCAGGTCTACAATTTTGTTTCTGGTGTCCTTTGACAGCTCTTTGGTCTTGGCCATAGTGGAGTTCGGAGTGTGACTGTTTGAGGTTGTGGACAGGTGTCTGTTATACTGATAACAAGTTCAAACAGGTGCCATTAATACAGGTAACGAGTGGAGGACAGAGGAGCCTCTTAAAGAAGAAGTTACAGGTCTGTGAGAGCCAGAAATCTTGCTTGTTTGTAGGTGACCAAATACTTATTTTCCACCATAATTTGCAAATAAATTCATAAAAAATCCTACAATGTGATTTCTGGATTTATTTTTCTCAATTTGTCCGTCATAGTTGACGTGTACCTATGATGAAAATTACAGGCCTCTCTCATCTTTTTAAGTGGGAGAACTTGCACAATTGGTGGCTGACTAAATACTTTTTTTCCCCACTGTAAATGTGATATTTCCATTATTTATTTTTAATACATTTGCAAAAACATCTTAAAACCTGTTTTTGCTTTGTCATTATGTCGATTGATGAGGATTTTTTTTTTTTTTACGTAAAACAAATGTGGAAAAAGTCTAGGGCTCTGAATACTTTCCGAATGCACTGTATTTTCTTGCAACTTCTATGTTCTTGTCTTGTGTTTGTCTAAACAAAGCACTAAGTTGTTTTCCTCATAGGGCTTATTGTGAATGCATACAGCGTGGCATAGCAAACCCCATTACACAGAATAATAGGCACTAAAGAGACTGAGGCAAATCTCTTTGGGTGAATAAATGAAAAGGTGTCCTCAGAAGCTAGCATGTTGACAAATCCAAGGAAAGAAGAGGAGAGTGACTCCGTGTCTCTTCCTCCAAGGCTGTCATTACCCATTTGCTGAAGACTCTCATTTGGAAGTGGTGTGTTAGTAGCCTAACCCTGCATTAAAGGCTTGATGGAGAGTTCTGAAAGGGTTCACAAGGCTACTTACATTTCAGCAGTATTTTCATAACTTGTTTGACCCTCATATTGCTGAAGGTGTGATGCTGTGAATTAACCAAGCAGGGAGATTGTTGTCTGCTAAACTCTCATGGACAGACTACGTAAACATGAATGGTACTGTAGAGCTGTCATGATACAACGGGATGCGTGGAGCAGTATTAGTTCTGGTGCTTTGGCCAAATCACGCTTTCGCAGGTGTTAGCATCTTTTGAATTTTGGAAGGGGAAGGGATATTTGGCCGCTAGTCTAGTTTCCGATCTCTTCTCTTAACACATATGGACCCAGAACTAACTTTTTTGTTGTTGTTTTTTCCATCTTTTTACAACTCTCATTAACTATTTATTATGAGCAGGTCTCTAGAGACCAAGCTTCGGTTTTGCCATATAAGTCCATTAGTCAGATTTGCAAGTCATTTGTTGTCTAGGCTACTCTCCATGTTGTATTCTCAAGCCTTTTGACTGTATGAGGGACCAAGCTGGCCACAGGTCTGCTGGGTTGAGATCGGAGAGAGATGGAGACTGCCTCTCGCTCAACCGTCTGCCAAACCACCCATTTAGGTACATTTAGCCAACAAGTCTCTTAACCACAGCCAATTGTGTGGTTTGATCACTGTGACGAGCTGAGCGATTTGTCTAAATCAGCACTGTGCTTCACGACCACAGACTGAGCAGATCTCTGCTAGTTTTCTGTTCCACATAGATATCCTCCACTGACTTGGCTCTGCTCTGTCTGGATCAGCCAGCGTGGGCTTTATTTATGGAAGGGTAGTTATTATGGATTAGAAAGGTTGTCTTTAATGATAATTATTGTTCTGACCAAATTACCAAGTACATTTACAAAATGGTAAATGTACTCTATGGTCCTGCCTGAGGTAATCTCATTAGTAAAGAAACAGACATGTTTAGAATCCACATTGATTTGAAGGTAAAGATCTCAATTTATCAAAACAGTAGTCAATGGAAGTCTTAGCAGAGCAATAGGCCCAACTCAATTTCTATCAATTTCTCTTTCTCTTCTCCCCCTAGGCAGGTCTTGGCAGATCGCCGCCGTATGGACGATGAGGAGGATGATGTGTTTGAGCCAGACTTCCACTGCTGGCGCACAGCCTTCAGGGAGATAAAGTACGAGGACAGGGGAACCCAGACACCCAGCCCTGTCCTGGCACTGCCCAATAGTATGGTGCCCTGCGGGGTGGCCCAGGAGCCCAGACCACTCTTCTACGGTACGGCCACACATACCATGTGAACACGCATACACACACAGTGTGAAGAATATGTAAGAGTGGAGCTCTGCTGTACTCAGCTCTTGGCGCCTTATAGTCCCAGCCACAGCAGCTTTTATGACCTGTGTGTAGTGTACCCAGCTGCTTTCCCATTCAGATGGCGCCATTAGGTGATTCAGACGTGACGACAGGCCATACCTGTATAACTGACCCTTTACTAGAACACCAGGGAGAGCTGTCTGTCAGTGATGCCCTCTCTGTCCTGTCACACTAGAGATAGCGCTGGTAATGGAAAAGATTACTGTATGTGAACTTTGGAGTTGTTAAGAGTTGCAGAGCATATGGCACTCTCAATGAACATTAAGATATTGACCTGACCAGTATCTATGGCTTTTTTCCCACAGGCAACGCAGGCTTTCGATTGCACTTCCCAGCGCAGTTTGAGCGTGTTGGAGACCAGGGGCCTCAGGGGGAGCGAGGGGGGATGGAGCGGCTCGAACAGCAGCCCCAGCAGCCAGCACGCAGCATAGAGGTCTACATTGGACAGAAACTCCAACTCATCGGAGACCAGTTCCTCCAACAACACCTTCAACTGGTGAGGATACCCACCGTGACTGACAGCATAGCACAGCTAAAGCCCACCAAACAGGCCTACTGTACTCAGAGGCCTGCTGAGAGAGAGAGAGAGAGCGAGAGAGAGAGAGAGACTGAGCAGCAGAAGTGGCTTCTTTAGGGGCATCCATTGTGGTCATGTCTCAGTGTCCCGTGTTTGTTTTGGCTAGTCAGTGAGCATGCATTAGCCCAGAGTTCTGACCTCTCGTTCTACCCCCCCAAGACGCAGCTTAAGCAGGGCAGCCTCTTCCCACACTCACCCCTTCCCTCCCGGCCTCAGCTTCCTGTTTATTTCTCTCTGCCTCTCTCCCCCCATTTCCTCCCTATGCTGCCACGGCGCCACAGGGGGCATTGAGGAGTCCACACCAAACACTGTACACTATGGTTGGGGTGACACTGCTAGTTACTGTGCTGGCTGCATTGAAGTGGTCAGACCTTTCTCTCTTGACATACTATAAGTTTGGTTGTATTGGTGGTAGAACCGTGGATCATTGAGAGTTTCTTTCTGCAGAGCACAAATGCACGTTTAGAGGAAAACGAAAACACTGAGAGTCAAAGACACACTCACACACACATAAACACACTCAACACACTCACACAGAGAAAAAGCTGAAGTGACCGGACTAGGTAAACATGTTGTACTTGCTACGATTGTGATATGTGGTTGTCTCACCCAGCTATCTTGAGATTAATGCACTAATTGTAAGTCGCTCTGGATAAGAGTGTTTGCTAAATAACTCAAATGCATAAACTAATGTTGTAACCCGAAGCTTGGCGCGTGAGCCCAGGGGAACAGCTGTGGTTAGGGAGTCTCCAGCCAGTCCTGCCCATCCGTCGCCCCCACCACCCACAAGAGACGCCCAAATAAGAGGGCTGTGTGTCTGGAGGGGGGCCGGTAGGATGGGGGGGGGGGGGCATGGAGGTTGCCCACTCACTTAATTCAAACCCAATCTATTGAGCCTAGGGGTTTGGAAGGGGCCTCATCTGACCAACTAAAGACAACCGTCTTGTATTTCCTTAAATTCTCTTTCATGAACTGCATGGACCTCTTGAGTCTTAAGCATGAAACACACCAAGAATCTCACTGCCGATAGACTGCTGATAGGTACTTATCACAGTGGGAGGCCGTTCCTTCTCTTGCTAGAACAAAAGCAGTACCTGCTGTGTGCCGACCCGGTAGCGACGAACCTGCCGTTTCTACTTGTAGAATCGCAATGCTCGTCAGTGGTCAATAACTTGACTTTGAGCCAATCAGAGAGCACTGCCGAGTTAGTGCAGTGTCCTTAGCTAGCTTTCTAGCTATGTTGTGCTAGCTACCGAATATGCTAACATTAGGTAGCTAGCAAAAAAAGTGGCTATGGGCTGGCACTGGCAGTATGGGATTATGGAGAGTGAATTAAATAGTTTATTCGTCATCTTGCTAGGTAGTTATCTAGCTGTGGCCATTAGCGCAGCTAGCTAGTTAGGTAGCTAGCTAGCTAGCTAACATTGGAATCTAAACCATAAATTAAGAAACACTCACAGACATGCATTTTCCAAAGAATGCTACTGCCACCTTCTGGTTTGGAGTATTTTAACACGGCTGAGTGGATGATGACTTCAAGGTCTTTGCTGTGTGAACACATAATAGATTGACTGCCAACACTCTGTTCAGAGGTGCTAAATACTGTCGGCAGGCAAACGTTTGACAATCCTACCGGTGTGTCTGAGCTTCGGAAAGTATTCAGACCCCTTGACTTTTTCCACATTTTGTTAGGTTACAGCCTTATTCTAAAATGTATTAAATTATTTATACATGTATCATCAATATACACACGATACCCCATAATGACAAAGCAAAAACAGGTTTTTATAATTTTTTGCTAATTTATTGAGAAGAAAAAACGTAACTATCACATTTACATAAGTATACAGACCCTTTACTCAGTACTTTGTTGAAGCACCTTTGGCAGCAATTACAGCCTTGAGTCTTCTTGGGTATGACGCTACAAGCTTGGCACACCTGTATTTGGGGAGTTTCTCCCATTCTTCTCTGCAAATCCTCTCAAGCTCTATCAGGTTGGATGGGGAGCGTCGCTGCACTGCTATTTTCAGGTCTCTCCAGAGATGTTCGATTGGGTTCAAGTCCGGGCTCTGGCTGGGCCACTCAAGGACATTCAGAGACTATCACTCCTGCGTTGTCTTGGCTTTGTGCTTAGGGTCATTGTCCTGTTGGAAGGTGATACTTCGCCCCAGTCTGAGGTCCTGAGCACTCTGAAGCAGGTTTGCATCAAGGATCTCCCTATACTTTGCTCCATTCATCTTTTTATTTTTTATATAACCTTTATTTAACTAGGCAAGTCAGTTAAGAAAAATTATTATTTACAATGACGGCCTACCCCGGCCGAATCCGGACGATGCTGGTCCAATTGTGCGCCGCCCTATGGGACTCCCAATCACGGCCAGATTGTGATACAACCTGGAATCGAACCAGGGTCTATAGTGACACCTCTAGCACTGAGATGCAGTGTCTTAGACTGCTGCACCACTCAAACCTGACTAGTCTCCCAGTCCCTGACGCTGGAAAACATCCCCACAGCATGATGCTGCGACCACCATGCTTCACCGTAGGGATGGTGCAAGGTTTCCACCAGACCTGACACTTGGCATTCAGGCCAAAGAGTTCAATCTTGGTTTCATTAGACCAGAGAATCTTGTTTCTCATGGTCTTAGAGTCCTTTAGGTGCATTTTGGCAAACACCAAGCGGGCTGTCATGTGCCTTTTACTGAGGAGTGGCTTCCGTCTGGCCACTCTACCATAAAGGCCTGATTGGTGGAGTGTTGCAGAGATGGTTGTCCTTCTGGAAGGTTCTCCCATCTCCACAGAGGAACTCTGGAGCTCTGTCAGAGTGACCATCAGGTTCTTGGTCACCTCCCTGACCAAGGCCCTTTTCCCCCGATTGCTCAGTTTGGCTGGGCGACCAGCTCTAGGAAGAGTCTTGGTGCTTCCAAACTTCTTCAATTTAAGAATGATGGAGGCCACTGTGTTCTTGGGGACCTTCAATGCTCCAGAATTGTTTTGGTACCCTTCCCCAGATCTGTGTCTCGACACAGTCCTGTCTCGGAGCTCTACAGACAATTCCTTCGACCTCATGGCTTGGTTTTTGCTCTGACATGCACTGTCAACTGTGGGACCTTATATAGACAGGTGTGTGCCTTTCTAAATCATGTCCAATTAATTGGATTTACCACAGGTGGACTCCAATCAAGTTGTAGAAACATCTCAAGGATGATCAATAGAAACAGGTTGCACCTGAGCTCAATTTCGGTCTGAATACTTTTATTTTTAATAAATTAGCAAGAATTTCTAAAAACCTGTTTTCACTTTGTTATTATGGGGTATTGTGTGTATATTGATGAGGATTATTTTAAATAAAATCCATTTTAGAATAAGCCTGTAACGTAACAAAATGTGGAAAAGTGAAAAGGTCTGAATACTTTCTGAATACACTGTAGGTATTCAAAGCTATATTTGGGCCCTGAAACCAGATTTCTGTAATCAGATTTGTGTAGCTGACTTCTTCTTTTGTGATGTTTTTTTAAAAATATTTTCTCCCACACTCATGCTGAGGTTATATTAATTCCACAGACTTGTGTACTGCAGCCACAGTGCACCATGACTCATCTTATGTGGCATGCAGGCGTTATTACATTAGGGCTGTGATACACTGACTGGCGCACAGCAGAACCTCAGCAGAGACAGGCCAGGAGATAAGGAAGCGTCTCTCTCTCTCGTTACTCACTGGGTAAACACAACAAGTGACAGTAGTTAGAGTGAGAACATTGTGATGTCATATCCTGAAGCTACAGAGCGATAGGGCACACACACTCACACACTGCTAACCTCAGCAATTAAGGAAAAATACAACTGCGTGAGGAATTGTTTTTTAAATTTCCGAAGCCCAGAATAGTGGATCTGGAATATTGACTTTGATGACCTACATACAGTGCCCTCCACAATTATTGGCACCCCTGTTTAAGATGTGGTCGAGGACTTCCAAAAATTCTCCTTTTTTTTTTAACAACATAGAACCCAAATGCAAAAAAATAGAAAAATCCAACCTTTTATTTAAGTACATTACTTTGGTGTAAAAAAAAAAAATCACACATTTAGAAAAAAAAAAACTTGAAATCATGTGTCCCACAATTATTGGCACCCCTGATGTTAATACTTTGTACAACCCCCTTTTGCCAACAAGACAGCACTTAATCTCCTCCTATAACATTTCACAAGATTGGAGAACACAGAGAGAGGGATCTTTGACCATTCTTCTTTGCACAATCTTTCTAGATCATCCAGTGTCCTGGGTCCTCTCTTATGCACTCTCCTCTTTAGCTCGCCCCACAGGTTTTCGATTGGGTTGAGGTCTGGGGACTGAGATGGCCATGGGAGGACCTTGAGTTTGTGACTGCTGAACCATTTTTGTGTAGATTTTGCCACATGTTTTGGATCATTATCCTGCTGAAAGACCCAATGACGACCCATCTTCAGCTTTCTGGCAGAGGCCATCAGGTTTTTATTTTAAATGTCCTGGTAGTTCAAAGCGTTCATAATGCCATGGACCCTAACAAGTCCCAGTGCCGCTTAGCAAACTCCAGACGTTTACGTTTGTGAGTGTTAGTGAGAAAAGGCTTCTTCCTTGCATGCCTCCCAAACAGCTTGTTGGCATGTAGAGAGCGTCTGATGGTTGTTTTGGAGACTTTGTGACCCCAAGATGCTACTCTTTGATGCAATTCTGTGACAGTGAGCTTAGGACTTTTTTTTTACTTCTCTTACCATCCTCCTCACTGTGCGTTGTGGCAAGATAAACTTGGGACCTCTTCCAGCCTTGTTTGTCACTGTTCCAGTTGTTTTAAACTTCTTAATGATTCCTCTGACTGTAGATACGGGCAAGTTAAGGCGAGTGGCTATTTTCTTGTAGCCATTGCCTGACTTATGAAGGTCGACACAAATCTGCCTTACTTGAATGGTGTGTTCTCTTGTCTTTGCCATGTTGACAAATGGGTAAGAGAATTAGGCCTCTGTGTCACGTCATATTTATACCCCAGGGAAACAGGAAGTCATGAATTACTAATTAAAAGTTCCTAGATACCCTGACCAACTTTAGCAACTACAGAAAAATATATTTTTAAAAAAATCAATTAAAATTTTCAGCAGAATTGTTAGGGGTGCCAATAATTGTGGGACACATGATTTCAAGTTTTTTTTTTTCTAAATGTGTGATTTTTTTTTTAACCACCAAAGTAATGTACTTAAATAAAAGGTTGGATTTTTCTATTTTTTTGCATTTGGGTTCTATGTTGTTTAAAAAAAAAAGAGAATTTTTGGAAGTCCTCGACCACATCTTAAACAGGGGTGCCAATAATAGTGGAGGGCACTGTAGTAACCAACAGTTAGGTGTTATTTCAGTCCTTGAAGTTATTGATTACTCTCTTGTCATTCGAGTGGGCAGAATTACTGTTCTTGTCTGCAGAGCCTACTCAGCCCAGGGAGTTGTACAGGCCTGAGTCTCTGAGAGTTTCTCTCTGCCTTTCTGGCTGCTGTTGAGTGACACTTGGACAGACTAACCCAAACAGATTAGTGTGATTTGTATTCGTGATCTCAAGTTTAGCCCATGGCTGCTATTCCTAGCGCTGTGGTTTCATTGTGTATTTAAGTCTTCAGCAGTGAGGTAGGTACACTCATTCTCATTCATGTATGCACACAACCACACACGAATATGCTGTGTGCATGCATGTGTGTTCGTGCATGCATGCATGAGAATGAGTGTATGTGTGTGTGCGTGTGATCTCGTCTTTCAATGTTGTATTGTCTATCTCTCCATCCCTCTATTTATCCCTCTTGTTGGATTATTGCAATTATGTAGTGCATCAGCAGGCTTTCAAACACAGTTTGACATTCATCTCTTTGATTGACTCATAAATGAAGAGACAGGGCATACTGTGTATTATGGCTCAACCCCCTTCCATTTCCATAACATCCTACCATCATGGCCCATGGCAGGGAGAGGGCTTAAGGTGCTTAAGAGTATGAGGAGCATTGGTGCTGACAGATAAATTGCTCCTCAGTATGAGAAGGCTGGAGGGGACAGAGCAGAGGTCCCCAGAGCACAGAAGGACTGACATGACAGTAATGACAGTCACAATGACAGGAAGACTGCCACAGTCTGCACGGGGCGAGGAGCAGAGTTGGGTTACAATAGTGTGTTTTTCTAAAGACCCCAATGAGGGAGCTACAGGGCGGGCCCACACCTTGTCACCCTCTCTGAGCTGAGCTGAGCTGAGTGGAGGAACCAGAGTAGGAAAAAAGGTCACTGCTGCTGTCTTTACAGGACATTGTGGCTGTGAGAATGTACACGTTGATGTTATTAAGTGTGGTGGAAGCAGTGTTTGTTGATAAAATATATAATAGTCAGTTGTACAACTGAATGCATTCAACCGAAATGTGTCTTCCGCATTTAAGCCAACCCCTCTGAATAAGAGCGGTGCGCGGGGCTGCCTTAATCGACATGCACGTCATCGGCGCCCAGGGAGCAGTTGTTGCTGGGGTTAACTGCCTTGCTCAAGGGCAGAACGGCTGATTTTTCCACCTTGCCGGCTCAGGGATTCAAACCAGGCCTACATACAGCATTACTGACTGTCACAACTACCTATAATAGGCTTCACCCTCTGTCAGAGGTGGCCAGTTCAGGTGTAATCCAGACAGATGGATGAGCTTGGTTATGTGCTTTCTAGTTGTAATTACATCTAAAGAAAGAGTGTCTCAAGGCACGACTTTACTAAGTGCTGCTACCCCATGCTGTCTGCCATCTGCCGGTACAGTTAAAACCGGGATTAATCTGTGAAGAGCACACTTCTCCAGCGTGCCAGTGGCCATCGAAGGTGAGCATTTGCCCACTGAATTCGGTTACTACGCGGAACTGCAGTCTGGTCAAGACCCTGGTGAGGACGTGAGCATGCAGATGAGCATCCCTAAGAAGGTTCCTGACAGTTTGTGCAGAAATTCTGCGGTTGTGCAAACCCACAGTTTCATCAGCTGTCTGGGTGGCTGATCTCAGATGATCCCACAGGTGAAAAAGCCAGATGTGGAGGTCCTGGGCAGGCGTGGTTACAGATGGTCTGTGGTTGTGAGGCTGGTTGGACGTACTGCCAAATTCTCGGAAACGACTTCGGAGGCGGCTTATGGTAGAGAAATTAACATTCAATTATCTGGCAACAGCTCTGGTGGACATTCCTGCAGTCAGCATGCCAATTGCACACTCCCTCGAAACTCGAAGCATCTGTGGCATTGTGTTGTGTGACAAAACTGCACATTTTAGAGTGGCCTTTTATTGTCCCCAGCACGAGGTGCACCTGTGTAATGATCATGCCATTTAATCAGCTTCTTGATATGCCACACCTGTCAAGTGGATGGATTACAGTGAGGGAAAAAAGTATTTGATCCCCTGCTGATTTTGTACGTTTGCCCACTGACAAAGACATGATCAGTCTATAATTTTAATGGGAGGTTTATTTGAACAGTGAGAGACAGAATAACAACAACAAAATCCAGAAAAACGCATGTCAAAAATGTTATAAATTGATTTGCATTTTAATGAGGGAAATAAGTATTTGACCCCTCTACAAAAAATGACATAGCACTTGGTGGCAAAACCCTTGTTGGCAATCACAGAGGTCAGACGTTTCTTGTAGTTGGCCACCAGGTTTGCACACATCTCAGGAGGGATTTTGTCCCACTCCTCTTTGCAGATCTTCTCCAAGTCATTAAGGTTTCGAGGCTGACGTTTGGCAACTCGAACCTTCAGCTCCCTCCACAGATTTTCTATGGGATTAAGGTCTGGAGACTGGCTAGGCCACTCCAGGACCTTAATGTGCTGCTTCTTGAGCCACTCCTTTGTTGCCTTGGCTGTGTGTTTTGGGTCATTGTCATGCTGGAATACCCATCCACTAGCCATTTTCAATGCCCTGGCTGAGGGAAGGATGTTCTCACCCAAGATTTGACGGTACATGGCCCCATCCATCGTCCCTTTGATGCGGTGAAGTTGTCCTGTCCCCTTAGCAGAAAAACTCCCCCAATGTTTCCACCTCCATGTTTGACGGTGGGGATGGTGTTCTTGGGGTCATAGGCAGCATTCCTCCTCCTCCAAACACGGCGAGTTGAGCTCGATTTTGGTCTCATCTGACCACAACACTTTCACCCAGTTCTCCTCTGAATCATTCAGATGTTCATTGGTAAACTTCAGACGGGCTTGTATATGTGCTTTCTTGAGCAGGGGGACCTTGCGGGCGCTGCAGGATTTCAGTCCTTCACGGCGTAGTGTGTTACCAATTGTTTTCTTGGTGACTATGGTCCCAGCTGCCTTGAGATCATTGACAAGATCCTCCCGTGTAGTTCTGGGCTGATTCCTCACCGTTCTCATGATCATTGCAACTCCACGAGGTGAGATCTTGCATGGAGCCCCAGGCAGAGGGAGATTGACAGTTCTTTTGTGTTTCTTCCATTTGCGAATAATCGCACCAACTGTTGTCACCTTCTCACCAAGCTGCTTGGCGATGGTCTTGTAGCCCATTCCAGCCTTGTGTAGGTCTACAATCTTGTCCCTGACATCCTTGGAGAGCTCTTTGGTATTGGCCATGGTGGAGAGTTTGGAATCTGATTGATTGATTTCTTCTGTGGACAGGTGTCTTTTATACAGGTAACAAGCTGAGATTAGGAGCACTCCCGTTAAGAGTGTGCTCCTAATCTCAGCTCGTTACCTGTATAAAAGACACCTGGGAGCCAGAAATCTTTCTGATTGAGAGGGGGTCAAATACTTATTTCCCTCATTAAAATGCAAATCAATTTATAACATTTTTGACATGCGTTTTTCTGGATTTTTTTGTTGTTATTCTGGCTCTCACTGTTCAAATAAACCTACCATTAAAATTATAGACTGATCATTTCTTTGTCAGTGGGCAAACTTACAAAATCAGCAGGGGATCAAATACTTTTTTCCCTCACTGTATCTTGGCAAAGGAGAAATGCTCACTAACAGGGATGTAAACAAATTTGTGCACAAAATTTGAGAGAAATAAGCTTTTTGTGCATATGGAACATTTCTGGGATCTTTTACTTCAGCTCATGAAACATGGGTCCAACACTTTACATGTTGCGTTTATATTTTTGTTCTGTATAGTTCAATTTGTGCTCTGGATAATGTATATTTATGAAGCAGACTTCAGCGTTATTATGCAATTATCAAAATATCCCCAGGTTAACTTTAGATAAACGCTACATCACAAAACTAGCACTATCAAGATTCCCAGTAGTCCCTCAAATAGCCGATGGCTATAACTTAATTTATTTATTCCTTTTCTACTTTTTACAAAAACGTGTGTGGAGCGTGCATGAGCCGGTTTGAACTTGGCACCAGCTTATGCAACGCTCTGCAATGTTCACCTCAATGTACGAGGGGTAGTGAAAACCTGGATCTTATCACAATGCAGAGTGCAGGCTAGTTGTAAACAGGTTGATTTCTGGGCTTGGACACAGATGCTGCCTCAGCTGTCATGTTAAGACAGTACAAGTCAACTCAGCAGTCACGCTTTGGTTAAATTGGTTTACAATTGAAGAGAATGTTGCCTGACACTGGCAATGTGCTAACAATGTATTGTCAAAGCTTATTATCCAGCCTATTGTTGCTCTTTGTTAATGAATGGCATGTATCTGAAAATAGCCAGGGTGTTATCAGGTCCAGTAGTGTCTGTGTTTCATCTGTGGAGCTAAGCTCAGCTCTCATACTGAGATGTGTTCCTTTGGATCTCCACCCCTCTTCGAGTGCTCTCTAATCGTATATAGTGCAATTATCTTATCTCCTCCTCTATGGCAGAGATAGCATTATCATCCTAATCACACACCATCCAGTTGGCTCTCCAACCAGAGAGGGAGAGGGAGGCTGCTCCTGATGTGCTGTTGGATTCTGCTTTCATAGACTTGCTGTGCAATGAATGTGTCTGTGGCATGGGGTGGTAGTTAGTGTTACATTCGCTGTATAGGGTTCTCAATCCTGCACACAAAGAAACAGTGTTAATAAGTAGTGCTGGGGACACACTCAGACTGTTGTGAAAATATTAGCGCTGTTCCGGTGTCAGGTTTTGACCTATCCCTCCTCAATTCACCATGTTGATCCCTCTCAATCACAATCACCACACATCACACACCAACACACATCCACAGCTCCAACTGAATACCCTGGTAAATGAATGATGATATATTTTGTCATTGACTATGCCAGTTCCCTGTCCACATCCTGGTCTGACTCGGTTGTTTTTCTCCCTTGTTTTGTTGCAGTATCACCGAAACCAAAGGAACATGAGGCCCTTGTGGAGGCGCCTGGCCTCGGCTCTGCTCACCCTGCTGTTTGAGCAGGAGGCCGTCGCTGGAGGGGGGAGAGCAGGGTGGAGGTGATGGAGTGGACCAGCCCAGACTACCCCTCTCCCACAGGGACTCATAATGGCACTGTCAAATCTAACACGGGTCTGTTGGGAAAAATAAAAAAAGAGAAAAGGTCCCCGCGGGACGGAGACAACCATTTTTTACGAGGTCGTTTTTTTCCAAGAAGATGCCATGTTGTTTCACGAGATTCCTCTACTGGACGATGTCCTTATTTTGGTAATTGTTTGATGTAGTATTTTGTACAGTACATTATTCCTGTTGAATTTGTTTGCACTTCCGTATGTGTACATCTTGAATAGCCTTTATGGTCCCGGAAATGCCTTATCAATGTCTTCTGCCACAACCCAATGACTGTTGACAAGAACCAAGCAGAAGAAAGAAAGAGATGGAGGGATCTGAAGAAGGGAAAGAAGAGTGGTTCATGGCGTTTTCTTTTCTGAAGTTTCCAGGAAATAATTGGTCAAACTTGATAATTTACTAATTTCCAAAGATGCGGTCTCTCAGAACAAAGCATTTTGCACCTCAACTTTCTCCTCAATGGGGTTGTGTATACTGTTATAGTACTGTCCTATTACATGTTGATTATTCTTTGCTCTTCCAGTCACTTTCATTGTATTGATTTCAATAATTGTTGTTTTTCCCAGTGTCACCAAAAGTAATAAGAACAAAATGGTGAAGCACTCAGTGGCTTACGATGTGGTAAGTGCCACTTTGTGGTTTGAAGGTAGATACAGTACATAGCCGCGGGAAGCAGCACCCTCAGCACCCCTACTTATTTTTTTCTCACAAAATGTGTGAACTAGGCCTTTATTACTGCTGTATTAGCAGAGAAAAATACTCCTTAGCACCACCCCCCCACCCCCCTTCAACAGCACTCCCAACCCAAAACATCTTCCTGCAGCCATGATACAAAATACAACTTCCAAAGCAAAAGTGGATCCCACGAGTTACTCAGAGAGAACACCAGATTTTCAATCATAGTTTATTTCAGATTTATCTTTGACTAATTTCATAAGTCCCCAAACTGGACCCCGGCCATTGTAAGAGAGAGTGTGCTGATCATTTCCGTGTCTTAAGACTACCAGGCCCTTCAAGTGGAGCTATGGATCCACACTGTTTGCACTATAGTACATCAGTCAGGAGTAGATTAGGTTACAAAGCCAACCTCTGTCATTTTATGAAGGTTTTTAACTGTATCTGATTTTTTATAGTAACATTACAATGTTTTCATTCACATGACCAAGACATATCATCCCAGGACGTGACTGAATATGGACTGTTATTATTAGAATAAAACATCTGAGGTACTAGTGATGCTGGTTAACTGAATGCCTCATTGAAATTCCAGTGTTTTTTAGCCCTCTAATCGATGTGCTTTCTAACCCAGAGTCAGAGATGCACTTGTATTCTGGACACCAAAACAAACATGTGAAACAACAGCATCTTCTTCCCTCTCAGGATTCTTGCATGGGCTTTTATACTTCTTTTTTTGTTTGTTTTACCTGTGGGGTGATCTTGTGTTAGTTCTTTGTCCTCAGATCCTGTGGTGTAACTTTTTAATAGAAATCACCCACTGCTAGTCCAATTGATAAGAGAACGTGTCTGAGATTAGAAAGTAACTGGTAGTGTGCAAGACTGTAATTACTGTTGAAATATGAATCTGTTTGAAGACACTGATGTATTGTTGAAGATGCTGTTTGTTGTACATTTTATTGCCTTTTTACTTCACTTTTTGTCCATTTTGAAGGAGCAGTATACATCATGAGGCTGTAATTTCAGACACAACTTTTGGTAATTTGGTCCTACAGTCATCTTCTGTGTCATCTTTTGTCTGTATAATCAGTACTTTCTTTCAACCCTTCATTTAGAATGCTGGAGAGACAGGTAACTGCGAAAATAAAGGAAACACCCATATAAAGTGTCTTCATAGAGTGGCGTTGGGCCACCATGAGCCAGAACAGCTTCAATGCACCTTGGCATAGATTCTACAAGTGCCTGGAACTCTATTGGATGGATTCGACACAATTCTTCCACGAGAATTCCATAATTTGGTGTTTTGTTGTTGGTGGTGGAAAACGCTGTCTCAGGTGCCGCTCCAGAATCTCCCATAAGTGTTCAATTGGGTTGAGATCTGGTGACTGAGACAGCCATGGCATATGGTTTACAGCGTTTTCATGCTCATCAAACTATTCAGTGACCACTCGTGCCCTGTGGATGGGAACATTGTCATCCTATGGGGGCATAGCCATGGTAGCCAAAAGAATGGCCTGTCCAACATTTCTATACATGACCCTAAGCATGATGGGATGTTAATTGCTTAATTAACGCAGGAACCACACCTGTGTGGAAGCACCTGCTTTCAATATACTTTGTATCCCTCATTTACTCAAGTGGTTCCATTATTTTGGCAGTTACCTGTATGTTTCAGGGCCAGGGAAAATACAATACTCTTAGTAACAGTTTCCCATGTAGAGTAGGACGACAAAGGAATGGAGTGGTTCAGTCCCATTCTGTTTTCTGCATCAGTTGAAATACATTAGATACATAACCATAGATACAAAGGTATACTTTAGATAGACTGGTCAGATAATGACGCTTGCTCTGACTCTGTTGAGGCAGGGACAAATTCAGAAGCATGTGGGGCAGTGAGAGATGAGCTGAAAGTTGTTGTTGTTTGTTGTTGTTTCCTGCAGATCCTGAACGCTGAGCCAGTCACTGTAGCTTCCTGTCTCGCTGTAGCCCTTAAACCGTCCCTAAACTCGCTTCTCTCACTCTACTGTAGCCTACATCTATGTGTACTGCTCCTCCATTTCCTTTAGGACTTTTAGCATTGTTTTCCGTTTTTTATTTATTTATTTTTTTTTTTATTTTTTGTATATTCGCCCTTTTCTACTGTTTAGATTTTGTGTGCAATTTCTCTTCCTTTTGTTTTTTTTAGATGTGTATATAATACATTTGTTTGACTGTGTAGAGCGATGGTTGTCTGCACTGTGTCTGCTTTTCCCTGGGGGTAGTAATCTCCAGAAATGGGCCCAATCGGTTAAGGCATTTATCTGAATCAGTCACGTCACGTCATCCATTCAGCAGAAGGCAGTAGAATCTCACTGTTTGTTCCGGAGAAATCATAGATCAGTTTAGCTACATAACTATGACCATTTTCTGGTCAATGGTTTGGAGGTTGGATCAGTACCCTACAGATCATTTTCTTAATTTTTCTTTAGTCACTGGACATTGGTTATGGGTTCAATCCTGTTTGTCTACTTTAGCGTTCTTTTGTAATCAACATGCACTGGAAAGTACTTTGTGTCCTTTGGTTCGTTCTCTCAAATCTGTTGTGTGCTGAACTAGCTGTGTGTCTGTAGTATAGCGAACCATTGACGATGTTATAACCTGCATAGAACAGTCTTTGATTTCTTTGAAAGAGAAACAAGCCACCATGGTGCCCAGAAATCATTTTTCAGAGGGGGTTCTGAAGCTGTGTACTGGAGATATGGCAAGTCTATGTCTATCTCAGCACTGTGCAAGGCTACAGGAACTGTATACAGTGAGTTTTGTATATTATAGAAAAACCAGCAGTGTCTTGAATTTTTTTAGTCCACTTTCTTTAAATGTACTTTTTTTTATGAAACCATTTCTTACTCATTGTCTTTTATAACTATTTTAAATGTATTTTCATATGAAAGGGTCAGCTTTTATACAGACAGTTTTGAGGCTTTTAAATCCTTTTTAATACCTGTTAGAGTCCAATGAGATCAATGGCTTTTATGTATAAAAATGAACTTGAAACATTCCTTTTGTGACTGGTTCTGGTGTAAACATGTTTTCAATGATACCAACAAAACTGAAACATTTATTTCAATGTTGTGTTCTATGATTTCTGAGGTTAAATCATCACCAAGAAACATTGTCCTTTTTTAGGAACCGATGAACTGTACATGTATTACTGACACCTGGAAAATGCCTTTAACTGCTCAGTTTCAACTAAGTCTTGATTATCACACACTCTCTGTACTCCCAAGAAAAGAGACCCAGCGAAAATGTAGCATTTTTGTAAACATTGACTGTGTGTTTTTAAGACTGTACTGTGCACTCATTTATTTTTTTGTGTTTTATTTTCGTTGATACATTATGGAAGTAAGGACAATTTGTTATGTAGTGCAATATGCTGTACATATAAGAGCTTTGCTCTACAAATCTTTTTCTGAATTTCTTGTTGTTTTATTGGTACTTTTTTTCAATAAAATTATATTGAAAGTGTAAAAGGTTTCAGTTGTTTTTTCCCGCAAAAAAGTCCCCTGGTAAAAGTAAATGTTATGGTTACTTGATAAATGATTTGCTTCGATACAAGTAGTGCTGAAGTAGAACTTATTATTCTCTCCCCTCCTACAACATCCAACATCAAGACGTCCATTTGTTATAAGCATCATTGTGAAATGAAGCCACTTAAAACTAGCCAAGCATCTGAGGATAGCCAGCCAGCCATTAGAAGTTAGCCAGGCGTTTGGCTGTGGGAGTGCCCGTCACATACATCCTGCTGAGTGCTCATTAATTTTGTGGGAGCGATGGGGCCTTCAGCCTACATTCATTAAATGACTGCCTAGCTAGCAGTACTGTATACACACACATACACACACACAGGCCTGTCTAGCAGGGCAACGGTAACACTGAGGATGAGTACAGTGAGGGAAAAAAGAATTTGATCCCCTACTGATTTTGTACGTTTGCCCACTGACAAAGAAATGATCAGTCTATAATTTTAATGGTATGTTTATTTGAACAGTGAGAGACAGAATAACAACAAAAAAATCCAGAAAAACGCATGTCAAAAATGTTATAAATTGATTTTCATTTTAATGAGGGAAATAGGTATTTGACCCCCTCTCAATCAGAAAGATTTCTGGCACCCAGGTGTCTTTTATACAGGTAACGAGCTGAGATTAGGAGTACACTCTTAAAGGGAGTGCGCCTAATCTCAGCTTGTTACCTGTATAAAAGACACCTGTCCACAGAAG